GATTTACAGTTCGGACTGTCACCTTTCCAACGATATATAATATGTATATATTTCTTTCACGAGCGCCACTCTCAAACGTTTCGAACGGCATCCAGCGGAATCGGGTACGAACTTATGCACTCATCTAATACATACATGTTTTCTAAAAGATAAAATTCCTTTTTTTTTATTATATAAATATAAAGTCTGGCCCACTGTATATATGATGAAGTTGGTTCTGTGACGTCAACGGTTTATTGACTTTATGAAAACTCAAATTACTTTGAACACAAAAAAACTACTTTTTGAAAAGTTTCTGTTTGCAAACTTATTAATTTTTTCTCACCAACTTCAAGTTTCCTATTCAAAAGTCATTATAAAATGTTATAGCAAAATTTGGGAGTTGTCAGGTGCCACAGTGAAATAAATTGCAAAAATCTCCGTAAAGGCGGCCGCTCAGCCACAGGTGACAGAATTTATTGAGTAGAAAAGAAAACTTTATTTGAAATCTCACCAGCGGCACCCATGCAAATTGCCATTTAAGGCTATGAGACTTTGAAGTGAAAACATTTGTAATAAAAAAAAAAAATTGAAAAAAGAAATTAATAAAAGACACAAATAAAATCAGTAAACAAATAACGGAAAAGCAAAAGGCAAAATACAAATGCGAATTAAAATGGAAATGTCCGTGCTACTCACCAGTCGTACGAAAAACATCGCCATTATGCTGGCGCGTCAAGTTGATGATGTTGCCAGTGGGCTCGAGCAGTAAATTGGCGCTGCTGCTGAAGAGCTCATCGCTTGCCGTGAGCGAGGAGTGCGTTGACGCGACAGCAGGGAGCGAAGATGGAAATGGAAAGACAGCAGCCGCACCTACGTCGCCGCCACTGTGATTGAGTTGGCGATTGTTGTTTATATCGCCATTGCTACTGTCAACAACGCCACCATTATTGCCAACAAAATTACTGCTGCCACCGAAATGCGCTTGATTGGCTACAGAAGCCACTGTGCCACTGCTAGCAGCCGATATGTTGTTATCTTTGTTAACACCACCAACACCGCCACCACCATGACCTACATCACTGGCAGCAGTGCCAATAATACCATTACCAGTAGCTCCACCAGCAGCACCACCAGCAGCCGCCGCATCCTCTGCACTGACCATTGCGACTGCTGCACCCGCTGCTGCGGCCAATGATGTTGCGCCGATTACCTCACCGCCCTGCATGGCGGCCAGTGCAGCTGTGGCGGCAATTGTTGCTGCCGTCTCATCGTCGGTGCGCGCCTGGTTCAGGGCCTCTCGTTGTAGGTCACGTTTTGTTATTGTAGCTGCTGTTGTTGTTGTTGCTGATGCTGTTGCAATTGTCGCTGCAATTGGTGTAGCATTGGCGTGGCATATGCTGACGCACAACAACACTGTTGCTACAAAATGCGCATACAGCAACATATTGCCGGCAACATTGCGTTCGTATGCCTGCGCAAGCGACGGCAGCAACGCGATGTGGCGCATAAACGTGAGTCGCGTGTGGGGAATGCGGTTTGCTGGCTAACCTCAGGAGGCTGGATTTCTTTGCTTTTTTCCCTGGATTTTCGGTGATTTTTTTTTGTTGGCAGCGGCTTCTTGAATTTCTTGCTAATTTTGGAGTTGGGAGTCAGTTGCGTGTTGTTGGTGTTGTTGTTGTTGTAACTGTTAACTCGCTTGTTGTTGTTGAATTTTTTATTATAATTTTTTGTTTGTTTAGCCCGTACGATGAGCGATAGCTGTCTGCTGGTGCCTGCAACTAACTGCATATGTGTATGTATGTGTGTGTGTGCTTAACTCTCTTCATCGCCACACCATGAGCAACTCTGTCTCGGGTTTGCTCAATCGATTACACGGAGGCTCTTCTATTTTCACGGAGTTGGAAGAAACTGTACGAAAGCTACTACTTATTTTTCGGTATGCCAAGATTAACCGTTATATTTTTTTTAGCGACTCCTTTTTTTCTGCTTCTCAGCTAATCATCTCAGCTCGTTACCGCCAATGCCTCGTCGCTATTTGCCGCTATTCATTGATCGTTTTGGTCTTCGTGGCGCGCCATCTGCAAGGGAAAATCGAAAAAGACACAACAAAAGTTGCTTGAATAAGGCAAAACTTGATAATCGCAATGAAATTTGACGTCGCTCAGCAAGTATGATAAAAGGAAATAAAAATCGAAATATAAAAATAAAAATAGTGAAATGAAAAATGTATATGTAAATGTGCAACAAAAATTGCTGAAAACAAGTTCCCGCGTAGCGCAGCGCTGCATGCAGCTCGTTATTTTCGCTGCTGCTGCTCAATGTCAAAAGGTTAAGTATGCCTAAGATTAAGTGCCCCTTTGGCAACTTTCTCGGCAGCTCAATAGCGAAACCTGCATGCTGTATTTATGCAAATATTGTTTACTGTTTACTTTCCGCCAAGTGATTGGCAACGCCTTCGATGCTTAATAAATAAGGCTTCGGTGGCAGCTGGCAGGTGGATTAACTGTCAAACGTGCCGAGGCAATTAGAGGCGTTAGATACGTACATACGTGTACTAGCAAAAGTGCTTGTACGACCACATAAAAATACTCTCCCTGGAGGTCTTCCTCTTCCTCTGCTTCCACCAGCTGGTACTGCATCGAATACCTTCGAAGCTGGAGTGCTCTCATCAATTCGAACGACTTGACCTAGCCAGCATACGCGCTGGCTGTCTCTTCATTCGCTGAACTATGACAATATCGTCGTTGTCTAGACAGCTTAAGCTTAGTAAAAACGAAGCCGTACATCATAGATCAGCGTCTATTCATTATTGTACAAAATTTCGAAAATAATAAAAGCTTGGCGGCCACAGCTCGAAAGTTTCACACAAAAGAAGGTCGGTAGAGGGATTTTTTTAACTTCATCAACTGTGAAGAACTCCAAAAACAAGTCGTTCAACTGACAATAGCAAAGCAGTGCGTGACTGTGTCGTTGACAATCGAGGAACCTCAATTCGACGTCGTAGACAGGGGTATCGAATATCAAGAAGCTCTCCCACGAAGCGATTATTCGCTAAAGATTTGTGTCTCCAAGCTTATAAAACTTCAATTAACACAACAACTGAAGACAAATGACTATGCACGAAGGAGAGAGTTGTTGAATAGAGTACTGAGTATCTAAAAAGAGATGCTGATTTTTCGAGTAAAATCATCCTAAGCCAACACCGCTTGGGGGTTTGAGAATCCACGGATGCATCCACAAAGTGTAACTGTTTGGTATGGATTTGGGGCTGGAGGCATAAGTGAACCCTACTTTTTTTTTTTTTTGAAGTTGAGGCAGGTTAAGCGGTGACTGTTACTGTTACGACCCGCAGTTTGACAGATTTCTGTTTGTTCCATTTGAAAACGTAGTGGAAAAGAATGATTTTTGTAGAAATTATAAAAATTAAAATTAAATAATTAAAGAAATAATTTCATTAAATCTACACCTTCAATCAAAATCATATTTCTTGCTTTGCTTAAAATTTTAAAAAGCTTAATATCTGCCTGGGGATTGTAGCTTCTTTAATAATTTCAATCAATGTTTGTATGTTAAAGTCTTCTTCTTTTATGATTCTCCACTCTTTTATTCTGGTTTGTCAGATGATTTCGATAAATTTTCGATAAGAATAAGAGAAGGCAAAGATTTGTTTGGTAATTGAGAAGGAGCCACCCAATTTTATTGTAACTCGCTCTCAAAAATATTTATCTCGATTTAAATAATTCGTCATGTATTCGGAGTGCGGTTGAGTGCCGTTACCATTGAGAGAGCTAAGCACTTAATTGAGCTGTTGCGGAAGTACCGTATAAGGCGACATGATATCCCTGTCCTTTTAACCGACATCGGATGATATTTACGCTAGCAAAATGTGATTTCAACAAGACAGTGCCGCATGCCATAAGCGCGTGACATATTTGCATTACTGCATGAGTAATCTCTAGATCATCTAGTCACTCTTTTCGGTATTCAGGATTGGCCCCCTAGATCGTGAGATTTAACATTATTAGACTTCTTCGCAGGTCTATTTCAACAAGTCCACAACAACGCGTGCTTCAAAGAAGGCGCATCAACGTTGCATCAATGAAATTCAACCACACTTATGCAGAATAGTCTTGGAAAGCTATGGAGACGATTGGTCTGATGTAAAGAAGAAAATGTGAACTTTGGGACACCCTTTATGTATAGCTAGGAAAAAGTATTCCATTATTTTCACAACAGATGACTTCAGTAATCTGTACCTAGCGCTATATGGCTGTAGAAAGTTTATCTTTTATACCAAAAAGGATAATGAAAGAAATGTTGATCACTTAACTCGTAACTCGTATAATTTTTCCTCGTTAGGGGTGAAAACGCAGATCAGGAGCAGCTGAGAACACGAATGTGTTTATGGTCCTGATACTGTAACAGTCAATCATACTCAATTTTGGTTTCGTCGATTTCGTTTCGGTAATTTTGATGTAAAAGTTGATTCAGGGTGTGCAATGCCAATTGTCGAAAATGTCAATAAATCATGGGAATCGTTCGGAAATTTCGATTGCCCAAGAGCTAAACAATGCATAAAAATTAATTTGGATTCCCTTGAAAGAGGCTGTCTACACAAAGTAGCTTGATGGCTTGGGTGCCACATGAGTTAACCCCGTAACAAAATTGTCTCGTTTCTGGTGGATGATGGCTGTAAAAGTAGAGCACTTACAGCAACAGTAAACGAAAACAGTAGAGGCCGAAGGACAGTGAGCCGGCACAAATCCATTCTAAACTAGAATAGTCGGCCACGAATATGTTGTTATATGTTTGGTGTTATTAGCAAGAAAACATCCCATATAAGCAGCTTCAGCTGTCAGCGATTGGACTATCTGAAGGAAGCAATAGCCTAGAAGCGTTCCGATTTGGCCAAGAGGGGGAGAATTGTGCTTCATCAGGACAACGCTAGACAACACACCTCAACATTGACTCGCCAGAGAAGATGTTGTCGTTGTAGTAGCGCTTAAGGACAGGTTTACACCCAATCTAAGTCACCGAGGTCATCTATCACGAGGTACAGGAAACGTGCTGATTCGACGAGATTGGACCAGTGGAAGAGGGAGTTAGTTCAGTCGGTTTAAGGGGGCATGTGAAGAGGTGGTTAGTATCGTGCGTAGACTCATGTGGAGAGTCTGGGCATACGTTGGATATATTTGGGGTCGAGTCTCGAAAGGTAGGAGTTTTACCCGCTACGATATCCAGACCTTAGCTGCGTCGGAGTCTCCAGGCAGCTCGTGCTCGTTGTTTGCGTAAGATGGTGGTTTATCTTCGAGTACGCCATTCGTGGGAAGGGAGTCTTTGAAAGTGTTGACTGACTCCTGGTGAATGGCGTTCAGTGTTTGTCTGTACGCTGTGTCCTTTAAGTCTAGTACTCCCTTTCTGAGGTTCCTGCGTAGAGGTTCAGCTTTTATTATGTATCTATTGGGGTACTCCAAGTGATGCTCCGGCGACATCAGGTTTCCTGTCACGATCCTGAGGGCAGTGTTCTAACAGGCCTGCGACTTCTTCATCTGCGTCGCGGATCGGTGCAGCATAGATTACGACCGGCCTGCCAATTGCGCTATAGGTTGCCAGCAAGGTTATTTCATCTTTGCCACAGGTGCTGCCGGCTAGCGCTTTGAGCAATTTGATGCGGCTATGGAGTTTTTTGGCAAAGGTAGCCGAGGATTTCGTCGGTTGTATATTAAGTTGCCTTGTAGTAAAGAAGTGGGGTAGGTCAGCGAGATAGCAGTTTACTTTCGAACAAAGATCACAATAACAACGCCAATATCGTGCAATCATTGGCAAATGATGTTAGGGAAACTCCTTCTTGGGGGAGGGAATTTCGAAATGTGGATATTAAGCAACAGTGGGAAGAGGACACCACCCTGCGGAAACCCTTGTATAATTTTCCTTTGTTTCGATGTTTCGTCTCGAAATGTTACCTTACGATCACCTTATAGTCCGGACAGTTGGCAATGAGATAATTGCGAAAGGCCTATTAGCCCGTTGTGATACCTTTGCTTGTCTTTTGAAGGAGACTTCTCTCACTTTCTCACTTACTCTAACCTCTAAGTATGTTTCATGAAGTTGAATTAGAGCAGAATTTTCGAGAGAACGGTAACGGACCGTACTGGGAACGGGGCAGCGACAGGGCTAGTATTCCACCGACTCCACTTCCTCTATGTCTCTGAAGCTGCGGCAAAGATCGGTATTTGGGAGGCAGCCCATCCATCTGGGTGCCATAAGTCCTTATAAGGCAGTGGGTATTACGCCGGTTGTTATGCTTATGCAGATCCTCTTTAGATGGCGTAAAAGCTTAGTTATGCTCGATCAATGGCCACATTTTTTTGATCACATTGAAGGTGGTTTCAATCGGTCAATTGCTGTTGTTTCTCTTGTGCCAAGGAAAGGGATATGTTCACATCACTTGTGTAGAGTGTACCGTGGTTATGACTTGTCCTTTCGCGCCAGTTTGTCAGCAGCGCAGTTTACTGGGATGTTGCTATGAACAGGAACCCAAATCCGGCAGCTTTTGTCACTTTTGAGGTGATATGATTACATTGTAGGGGCTAAATGACAGTCTGGCTATCAGAATATATTGAAATAGGTTGGGTTATCGTGCTGGAATTGGGCAAACATGAAGCGACTTCAGTCAGCGTGATTAGTTCTACTTTAAAGCTGCACATGGTGGGGTTCGATTACTTAAGGCAATTGCAAGTGGTTCGCTGTAAACTCCACAATCTACTTTGTCAGCAAGTTTAGAGCCGTTGATGAAGATGGCTACGGATCTTTACATCAGAGCTGTTAAATGATCCTATTCGTTTCCCTCAATGAGGTATGTAGAGAAGTATTATTGAAGCACCTCTTCGAAAATGATGTAGAACTGGATATTCATCTTATAAGGTTCTTCCATGATTGGGCAACATTCTAAAGCTATAAAGTAACACGGAACCACTGAGCCCGCGAGCCGCCAAAAGCGATTTTCGGGCGAGCTCCCTCCGATTTGTGTGAGAAATATATTCGGTGGGCTTGATGTTCTCTGCCCTGCTCCTTCCACAATTTGTTGGAGCTCGTTAAATGAAAAGAGATGTGGTTTTTTTAGGATACCTTCAAACGACTGATGGATTTTTATGAGAAGGATTCATATTTCATGTCAGAAATATGTACACTCGGTGGACCGGTGGACGACCGCAAATC